CAACAGGATTCCCATGCCACCTGATCCCGGCGAGCGAAACACAAGTTTACGCTGACTGGGGGGGGGCGTGATCGACTAGGTTATGCCATATTTCGTAGTATGGTATCCAAGAACATTGGGTGCGCCCCCACCCTACCTGAATGTTGCGCCAAACGACTACCCGTGAGTGCGGACAGCGACACGCTGCACGCGAAATCCATCAATCCAACCTCCGCCTTTCATTCGCATTTCTTCCATCTCGCCATCCTCACCATCAGCATCGCCATCACCACCATCACCGAAGTTGATCTAACATAGTCATCATCACCAGCATCATCACAATCACCAACAACAACATCAACATCACCACCATTATCGGCATCACCACCACCATCAGCATCATCATCAGTATCATCATGATCACCGTCATCACCATCAGCATCAACAACATCACCATCATCTTTATCGCCCGATCCCTCATATCCAGTCGCCTCCCATCCCCGCTGGGCTCTGTGCCATGTCTCCCTTTATGTGTTCTACCGCCTGGATTACCTTGAGCAGTCCTGACGGGTCTTAAGTGATGGCGTAGGGGGCCGACGGACCAACGTTACACGCGTCCGCGTGCAACCTTACCAGGATTCCAGATTCCAGGGGCAACACACGAACACAACGGACGAGCAGTAGGCGTGCGTCTAGGGGGGTCGGTGTCATACGCGGTTAGACGCGATCGTATGGGGTGGCGTAGCCGACCGTATGATTGCGCATGTGTGCATGTATGTGTATGTATGTTTATTTAGACAAACAATATATGCATACATGCTCCGATATGTGGCTGCGAATACATATGTACACACGTGCACCATCATTACCAGTGTTTCCACCCGAGCCGTCCCCACATTCACCACCGACCATGTTCCCCAACCAGCTCATTCGGTAATCCCATCCCAACCCACCAACCAAGTTATATATCTGATCACCCCGTTCCTCCCGCCTGATGCAGGATTGTCATGTCCTCCCACCGTGCCCTTCCATTCGCACACTCAGATGCCCATCGCTATCGACGCACACTCCCATATAAACCCTCCTCGTCTCAATCATAATTCGCCCGCCATGTTTATGTTGTGAGCTAGCACATCACGCGATGGGTACGCGCCATGATTATGATGGGGGAAGGGGGGTGAACATTCCCTGTGCAAGCGCCATTTGAGCATTCCCCCGTCCTGTCTGTCAGGTGCATGGTGAAATGGTACTTCGGTGTGAACGATATGCCAGCAGACCCCGAACGGACAATGTGTATCATCATTAATTCGTAAAGCCGTTGGCACGTCGTCTCAGGAAATCGCATTCGAGCAGCTTTAATGATGTCCATGAACTCAACCGCTGCCTCCCCAGCCTTCAACAAGTCATCGAAGCCCGGAACGGTGGCACATCGCGCAAGCCGATCCAATGCGAAAACCACCATGCAGTATGTTTGATGTGCTTTGAATTTCACCACACAACCAGGGTGCACACCTGAATCCAACGTGGCAGCGTCAGGCCCCCCCCCCCCCCCCAATCATGGCTACAGCAATGTCCCAGATTCTCTCTGACTGCGGTATTGCATGGGCCCGCTGCCACGTAGCTAACTCATCGTTCAGTTTTTGTTCATGCACATTTCTAGTTTGCTCGTCTTCGTGGGCGCCCTAATGTTCCAAGGGCTCGCAAATATTACTCTCCACGCCACGCTGGACGTCCAACGTTGCTGCGGGCCATGGCACAACGCATGCCTCACATCGATTGCATAATGGCTGCATGGCTCGATCCCTGTGGCCGCCCCGAACAGAGGACTTCGATGGACAACGAAGCCGTCTCTCGCCCGAGACTCGTCATACCTGAACCTCCAGAGCACAATCTCGACTGGAAGCGAGCAATCAGAGAAGTCTTTCACGCGGTGCAGCGTGTGAGATGGAACTAGCACATCGCCCGAACAGAGTTAAACATCCGCTACATTCGCGTCGTCTGTTAATGTACCCCCCCACTCCCTGGCTCCTTTCTTAAACGACGCTGCCCCTATAATTGCATTGCGCTGGGTTGCAGTTCCAATGCGGACATCTATCTCGCACGATGTACACTCCGGCTCGTATTCCCCCATCTGATGTTCTCCCATGGCAAATCATATGGTTGCACATCTGGGTAGGAAGCATGCATGCAGTGCGCCGCGCACTTACAATATGGACATGGCCTGTTCGTAGATGTAACTGCTGGAATACCGTGCGTTTTGTTTGCATCCGCCCAATCCCCTTTCACCCAGAGCACAGCAGCGCGGAAAACACGTGTCTCGCCGTGCTTCGCCCGAAGCCGCGAGATCGGATGGTCATTGCCAGCGGCGCGCCCGTCATATCGACACTGCGGCCGAACTCCAGTCTCTAAAATCTGCAACTGCCAGCGGATGCACTCTAGTATTAGCCATGTCGAGCACCGCCCTCTGAACCCGCACGAGCACAATGCATTCGATCTAACGCTGCAAATCAGATGTCGCTACTGTGTCGCTACGTTTACCAGCCAGAAACCTACCACCGAGCCAGCGTTACAATGCAAGGGCGATTGGTACCGAACCCCATCCGTGTAGAGAGCTAATGGAATCACAACCCCGTTGGCCCCATGATTAAGCACAGCGCGGCTTTCGTAGTAGCATTGTGGCCAGCGAGTGTTCTCAACAGTCCTGATCACGTCTCGATTGCATCGGATCTCGTCGGCAAACGATTCATACACAAGTGATACTTTGAATGGCATGTTATTGTGTTTACGTTTACCCGGTGGGAGATTTACATATTCGAATTCGTTGTATGTGGACACAAGGGTGTCCATGTTGCATTGATATTTGCCACTCTGGCTGTCGGGGTCCATTCCGAACTGCCCAAACGGCGCCCCCAACTCACGCGCCTCCTCTGCATAGCGGCACGCCACACTGAAATCTCGCACCGATATTTTCCCAACCGCCCATAGGGATTGCAAGTAAGGCAGAAAATCGAGCAAGTCGTGCAGGCGCCGCCTCTTGGCTGAGCCAAGCATGGAAAAAAACTGCGGGGCGGGTCGCACTGTCTATGCCAGGCAGCGTGGTCAGACTTGATCCAGCATGCATATTTCGGCAGTGAGCGTTCATGACTGCTTATACACACCGGACAACAACATGTGATACACACAATATATCTACACACTTGTCACTATCACATGGTGTGAGCCCCGTGCACGGCCAATGTCTGTCTGCACGTGTACCCCTACACATGCAATATTTCATGGACTAACATGTGCCCCACTTGTCGCGTCGCATTCCTACCCAACATTATTAGCCAGCGCCCCCAGTATGGCATCAGACCCACCCGCCCGTTCATTACGGAACCCCTGGCTGTACTCTTAGTTCCATGCGTGACCCCATGTGCATGTGCACGTCGGACCACTACCGCAATCGAGCCACGCTGGGCCCTTCACAGAGGGCGGGTCCGCCAGGCTCCCCACCTGGCGGGCCCATCCTTAGTGGCATTGTGGGTCATGGGCGAGGCGCGCACAGTCGCGCTCAAACAAAACGCACACATTGGCAGCTCGAGCGCAGCTCCCATCGCACATCGGCGCTGGTCCAGCAGACCGACAGGGTTCAAACAGAACGCTGACATCCCACCCAGCACACGCGAACCCATGTTGTCATCATTGGCTCATCACATCCCCCTCCTCATCCATGCGCGCGCGAAAAGTCAGCGCGCCACTGGAGAAGCCTACTCAGATGCAGCGGGCGGCCTGTTGCAGCAGATCCTGCGGCGCAGGCCAGGAGTCGCAAATGGAGGGGTTGTCTGGGGAGGGAGGGCCGGCGCACACGCAGTCGGGTTGGAGATTGTGCGGCTCAGATTGCTTATGACACCGTTTGAACATAATTTTAGTGATTCTGATGGGTCCTACGGGGTCCTACGGGGGTCCTGCGGGGGTCCTACGGGGGTCCTACGGAGGTCCTACGGGGTCCTACGGGGTCGCCATCCCTGTAAAATATCAGGGTTTGACGATCGAGTCATACGGGGTCCTACGGGGGTCCTACGGGGCCCTACGGGGGTCCTAAGGGGCGCGCGTCGAGTAAGTGCTTCGAAATCGTGTTCGGATCGCTGAAATGTGCACCAATTACGCCAGGCAGCCCGAAATTGCTCTTGGAGCGGGTCAAGGCACAACCGAGACGGCGGCGTCAGATATGGGCGCGCATCGGCTGGGCATTAGGCACCACGGCGATCACGCCATCGTTCATGCCAATTACACTCGCAGAAACTCACGAGGAGGAAGACGACGAGGAGAACGAGGATGAAGAGAACGATGACACGGACGAGGGCGATGAGGAGGGACAGGATTAGGGAGGATCGGACTCAGGGAGTCTGTAGGAGCGGGAGGTGTGAGGAGACATGACGAGGAGGTGGGAGGTTGAGGAGGAAATAGAGTTCGAGTGTGAGGTGGCATGGCAACGGGAGCAACACGTGGCGCTCCTCCAAATGCGTATAGCTCAGCAGCACGCGCAGTACATCAAGACCATGCTGAAGCGCCTGAAACGACAGGGCCAGAACGCGGGAACACGATGAGACCAGGGAGGATCAGGACCGTGGAATGGATGGGAGATGAGGCGGGGGAAAATGAAGAGGAGGAGGTCATTGCCGAGGGCGACGAGGTGGATACGATGAGGACGAGGAGGGACATTCGGGCGAGGGGCGGGTAGAGACGGGTCGGACAAACATGGCGTATACACAGAATAGCATACACACGCACACACATATATATACATATGTAATTATTATTTATACACACATGGCTGTAGCGAACATGTGTATACATCCCCAGGTATAGCAATAGGCATATCGACATATCTGAGTGAGGCCAAGCTCGCACCGCTGTATCAACCCACCTCCACTCATCGATCCTCATGTGGTGACGTCTGGGGGGCGGGAGTTTAGCCAGCTGGCACCTGGTGCAAACCCCGCAAATTACGCGCGTGATGTGGATGTCCTCGGACATCATCAGGCCGAAGACTTGGCCCTGCGGGAACTGCGCAAACTGCCAGCTCCCTTCGTCGACTTGTCATCATCCTTGTCATGGATGGCTTCCTCCCTGGCCCTCTGCTGGCTGATGAGGATACGGGTCTCGCGCTCGAGGTCGCCGATCACAGGGTTCATCTTCTCGGAGAAATCGGCCATGTACCTGTCAAGCTTCTCGACCTCGTCATCCCTCTTGCTCTTCACCAAGGCCGATCGCATGGCCCCGAGGTCGCTGCTCAGGAACTCGCCGAACTCCGTGCGCCCTGCAAGGATCTCCGTCAGCTTGTCCATGGCACGCGTGATCTTGTCCAGGTGCACTGGCGCGTTGGCCCAGGCCCACTTGTTGTTGTCCACGGTCTTCTTGATCTCCATCAGGAGCGAGGCCGCCCCAGCCTGCGCAACGCCGTAGTTGCCCTTGGTGAGCTGAGCTCCCGAATTCACCTTCGCAGTCGTCGACGCCTTGGGCTTGGCACGCTTCTTAAGGAGAGGGTCCGTCGACAGGTCCGATACAGCTGCAGGTGCAATCCTCTTCGCCGCTTGCTTCGTGATCACCGCCGCCTCCGTCGCCTTCGCCTCCTCCGCTGGCGTGGCGGCCGCCGCCGCCCCCGCCGTCGCCGCCGTAGAGTCACCCTCGGCATCCGTGGGCTTGATGACGCGGCGCTTCTTGGCGGTCGGCGGTTGCATAGCGTCACCTCCAGCAGCAGCATGACTAGCCGTCGTCATAGGCGTCGTCGCTGGGGTCGCCGCCGCAGCCGCGGTCTGGTCGCTGGCACCGCCCGTTGCAACGGCGCTGCCTGCCCCGACGGCGATGTGCCCTGATGCGATCTCGCCGATGCCGCCGTAGATGTGGCGGAGATCCACGATGCCCGACGCGCTGGCCGCCGAGCTCGTGCCCTGGGGGGGGGGGGGGGGCGTCGCAACGAAGATGCGAAGATGGTGGTGGTGGTGGTAGTGATGGTACTGATGAGGAGTGCGTTGGTGACGATGCTCTTTCTGAAGATGGTGATGCAGATGGTGAGTATGATCGATGCTCATGGTACAGAGGAAGGGGAGAGGTAGCAGGAGGATGGGGATGATGACGATGGCGAGGAGGAAGAGGCGGCGACAACGGAGAACGACTGGAAGAGAAACGAAGAAATGCGATAGCTGGCGCACGCATATTGTGACGGGAGGATCAGGTAGGTGAGCTGGACGAGTCAGGAGGATACGATGAGTGGTTCAATGTATTCCCCGTATGTCCTTGCCATGCTCGGCGCTCCATTTCTCCGTGACCGTCACCCACTTGGTCTCCATGCGCTCCTTGATGCCCCCCAGCTTGTACAGGAACTTGTAGTCCTTGACCCGCATGTCGTACTTCCAGTACGGCGGGCCTACCGCGATGGACTTCAGCGCGTAGTTCACCGAGTTGCGAGCCCCCTGTCGACCACCGCCTTCTTCCACGGCCATCCGCCCGATCGTGTAGTAATAGGCGTCCGAGAACGTCTCCTTGACGATGGCGGTCTCTTTGCGCAAGGTCATCAGGTGCTGCTGGTACCGGTCTTTCAGCCAGTTCTGCCGCCACTTCTGCTGAGCAGCGGTGTTGCCCGTCAGGGCGATGTACTCGGCCTTCTTCTCTGCGTTAGATGGGTTCCTGCTCCACCGATTCCACCTGCCAACCACTGCGTTGCCCGCCTTGGACCGCGTGTTGAAGTTGAAGACGTTGTCCTTCTGCATCTGCCAGAACTTGGCCTCATCGGGGTCGTCCTCGCGGTGCTCATCGGGCGCATCACCTCCGCCTTCAGCGCCAAAATCTTTGAAGCTGTCGTAGTTCTTGAAGCCCTTCTTGAAGAGATCCGCCAAGGTGTCCGTGCAGCCGTCGGCCGCATCTGCGAGAATGGCTGCTTGCTTCTCCAACGCCGTCTCCAAGTCGAGCTGCTCCTCGATCTCCTCCGCCAGCCGCTCGTGGGGTGTGTCCCCCTTGTCGCGCGATTGTGGCTTATCCTTCACCTTGACAGCGGCAGAATCGTCGGTCGCAGCTGGGGGCTCGCCAGAATGCGGCGCAGCCTCCAGGGGGGCAGCACCTTCACCGACTGGGGCGGCGGCAGCCGCCGCTGCCTGGGGAGTAACCAGTGGCGCATCGCTGTCAGAGTCCGGGACAGCATCGTCGACCACCGCCTGAGAGCCCTCACGAACGTCGGTGTCGGGGTCACCGCTGGCCTCGCCATCACCTGCACACGTGCTGTGGACACTGCTCGCACCGTTCCTGGCACCGTCCTCATCCTGGGCCTTGCCCTCCTGGGCCTCGCTCTCCTGCACCCCGCCCTCGCGCTGACGCTTCGCCGCGGCCAGCGCGGCGTCAGCAGCTGCCTGGGAAGGGATGTGCACTGCCGAAAACAAACTCGGCAATCCACTGCGCAATGTTGTATCTGTATCTGGGGGCGAGGGCATGTGATTGAGGGGGCCCTCTGCTACCGCGCCAATCTCCATCAGCTCGACGCTCAGAGAGCGCGGCGTGGCGCCCAGGAGACTCATGAGACGCGAACGGCGAGCGCTGGGTGACAGGAATCCCTTGAACTCAATATCACCAGTGGGCATGTCTTGGGCCTGCAACGCCTAGTGCGGACAGCGACGATTGGCAATGGAAAGTGATGGCGCTCGTATGCCGCGTATTGTTTATATGGCCCGTACTCGCCTACATGCACCCCCTCGTTCGGGCCGTTCGCATCCTTCGTACCAACCTGTCCGTTTCAAGAGGGCGTTTGCACATCATGTTCTTTTGCAGTCGGGTTCTGTCGGGTAATCGTGTGTGTGTGTGTGTGTGTGTGTGTGTGTGTGTGTGTGTGTGTGTGTGTGTGTGTGTGTGGGTCTCGCGATGACATCGCGAGGGGGATCGTGAGGTCATATTGGAAACATTTTTTTTGAGGGGTGGGGGGGTGGGGGGGTGGGGGGGGGGGTGGGGTGGGGTGGGGTGGGGGTGGGGGGTGGGGGGGGGGTGGGGGTGGGGGGTGGGGGGGGGGGGGGGGGGGGGGGGGGGGGTTGGTGCACCTGGGGCCTATAGGAAGCCCGCGTCGGGCTGAACGACTCACCACTACCCTCCTGATTCAGCGCATAGCGCCCGCGCCCACAGACCCCGTTTGAACGCGTGGGGGAGGTGAGACGGAGGAGGGGTGGTATGAACGAGGGGGATGAGAAGCAAGAGGACGAACGCCACTTTCACTCCGAATCGGAGAATCCCTGCGGACCGCAGGCGCACTCCCTCCGCTCGCCTGCGCGCAAGCAAGCCGTGCGACGGCAGTCCCCTGAAATTGGGGGTGTGCAAGGCCGCGCGTGGCCCAGCACTAGCGCGTGGGCGTCTGATGCGTCCACCAGCCACATGCGCGGTGCCCCCGCGAGCTGTTTCGGCTTGCCCGCGGGGACCTCACAACGCAAATTTGACAACAAAAAAACACGAACAACTCAAGTGGCTGCATCGCACGCCCACGCTCCAGTCACGAGCAGGCACCCTGCGCAGCACCGCGCAGGAACCTGTCGACCCGATCGCCGCGCGGCTCGACGGGGCCGTCCAGCAGCAGGCCGTCGTCATCCGACGCTTCGGGCATGAACGAATCCACCGACTGCGCGCCCGCGTCGTCCAACGATCCTGGGGTGGCGATGGCAGGGGGCGGAGCAGCAGCGACACAGACTATGCGGATGGAGCGGGTTGCGAGGTGGAGATGGAGCGCGCGGCGGAGGGAGGAGGATGAGGAAGAGGTGGAGGGCGAGGATGGCCATGAAAAAGTGGACGAGGAGGAGGCGGATGATGGGGAGGAGGAGGCAGAGGACGAGGATGATGAGGAGGAGGGGGAGGAGGACGAGCAGGGCAACGGTGTGAATGCCATGGTTCTGAGAGCGAGGGTGGGGAATGAGGGTCGTTGACGGTGGGAAGGAGGATGAAACCGAGGAGGGAGGCGGCGCAGTCCTGACGCGCTCCTCGGTGGCCCCGTCGCCGTGCTCGGGCTCGGCTCGCCGTGCTCGGGCTCGGCCGTCTTCTCGATGATCATCTGCTTCTTCGCGCTCTCCTTCTCGGTGATCTTCTGCTTCTTCACGCACTCCTCGGTGATCTTCTGCTTCGTCGTCGCAGCAGCAGGGCGCTTGCGCGCCGCCACCTTGCCGTCCTTGACCAGAGTCTGCTTCATCATGTCGGCCTCCGCCTCGTCAATCTTCTTGTGCGCCAGGGACTGCATGATGGCCTGCGGGTGACCACGGCACCGCAACACACATGCAGCAACACGTAACGAGAACGAGACGCCCATGGATACGTCCTGGAACTATGTTCAAACTTGTCCAACCACCGCGATTGGAAAACTCCCGACGGTCGATCCCAAAGGGGTAGCCGTCTCTCTCATGCCCCCGCACGGCCCTTTTCAAGATCCTCTCACGTCCGACCCTCCACTCCCACCTCCCCCTTCATGTTTTCAAAAGTGTTTGCGTGCATCCCCGTGGCTCTGTCCGCTCTTCCCTCAGTCGGCCCGTGGTGCCATTCCCCATCCTTCCCCGTCTTCCACCGTCTACGGCCCCCCCCCCCCCCCTTCCAGCCTTCGTTCCGTTCAACGCGCTGTCGAAGTCACCCTGCTCGAGGTTCGTCACAGTGAGCTGCAGCTGCTGCTTGGGCGCGCCTGTGTTGTTGTGCTTGCGCATGATGCGCGACGTCCTGGCAGCCCGCGAGGGGGGGGGGGGGGGCGGCCACGGAGGGAGGCACGATGGGGCGTATGAGGATGAGAGGATGACTCATCGGGTGGGGACGGAAGCGAACGACGAGAGCCCGGACGGAACCGTGTTCAGATAGATGAAGCGGGTGTTGAGACCACGAATTGGGACGTTGGTATGGGGATGTGGTGGAGGGCGAGGGTTAGGAGGGCTGGGAGGGTGATGGTGGGAACATGGCCGCATGGCGATCCTCACTCCCCTCTCGTTCTTCTCGATGGGGCGCCAGGTGCTGCCGTCGAACTCGTACTCGTCGTATGCTGCAGTCCTGGCTGCAACGCGTGCGGTGCGAGCGACGCGTTGGACGCCAGCGAACTCATATGGGGTCCTGCGCGGTCCTGCGCACACGCGTAGGACCGCGTAGGACCTCATGCGCGGTCCTACGCTCACGCGTAGGACCGCGTAGGACCTCGTAGGACCGCGTGGGGCCTCGTAGGACACCAGGTGAGCGCGTAGGAGTCTGAGTGCTCACCCACCCCCTCATCACCTCACGCTCTACACCTTGACCCGTTCCCGTTCCCGTTCCCATTGACCCACTCCCGTTCCATTCCCGTTCCTCATTCCTCTCCTCCATCGTATTCCTATCATGTTTCGTCGTTGCCGCCGCCCCCACCATTGTCAGCCCTCTTGGCGCCGTCCATCTCGCGCAGCTTCTTGTAGCTGAGCTGCGGGGTCGCGTAGTAGCTCTTGCCGTCCTTCCATCTGGCGACCACCTGCTCCCCGCCGTCGCAAGTCTCGTCGTCCTCGAGTGGGAGCGGCGGCTCGGGGCCTCCGATGGTCCCGTCGGGCCAGACCTTCCTGCGCGTGGCCACCTGCTCGCGATCGGCCAGATCTGCATCGCACCCTCTCCTCCAACGTGCACTCCTGTTCCTCCCCGCCCGTCCCTTTCGTACTCCGTTCCTCGTCCAGCCTCTCCCGTACTCTCCCCCTCCACTCATACTCGGATCTCTGGGGTGAGAGGGTCAGAGCAAGAAAGATACGAGCGGGAATGAATTCCTACGCACTCCGACGCAGGCATGCGCCATCCCATAGGAGTCCGTAGGAGTTCATTCTCGTTCGTCTCATTCCTGTTATCCCCCCCTCACCTCTTCTCATACCTCCTTCCCTGGAACACCTGCTCCTCCGGGTCGAAGCCGTGGCGCCGCGCGAAGGTCTCGCCGTGGTCGCCGTGGTCGTCGTCGCCGCTCTCGGCGGGGCTGTCGTTGGTGAAGCCTGGGCTGGGTGCGCGCAGGCATGGGGGATGAGAAGATGCGATATGACATGCGATGATAAGGAGAAGGGAGAGATGAAGGAGTGAAGATAGTGTGCGTGGTTACGTTGAAGCACCAAGAACCCTGCAACCACTTCCACTTGGTGCTCTCCAACGTGGCATTCGATGATTTCATCTTGATGAAACTCTGCATGGCGTCTCGCTTCATGGCCCTCACGCGGCGAGACTGCTTGTCGGCCCAGCTGTCGCGCTCCTCTCCGAGGCGCCATTGATCCTCATTCATCTCCGCGACCTTTTTGAAGGCGTTCCTCATGGGTACTTGCGGAGTGCCTGGGGACAGGGGGTCGGGGGATTCAGTGAGAGAAGGAGGAACGTGTAGGATGAGGAATGGGATGAGTGGAGTGGTTGGAAAGGTGCGGAAGGGGGGGGGGGGGGGGGGAATACAAGGGTGAGACGTCGAGGAGCTCGACGATCCGAGGTGGACGGAGCATGTGAGCGACACGGGCCACGAGCGGGATGAGGTGTGCATTGAGGAGGGGATGCGATGATTAGTGCGACGAGGCGAGGAGGAGGATGGATGAGGACATGCAAACATTCCCCATGCTCGTCCTGTCTGATCCTCCCTCCTCCAGCCCGTCAGCGCACCTCCTTCCGCCCCTCTCTCGTACCTCCTCGTCCTGACCTCATCCATCTCCGCCTTATCCTCCCATCCTCACTCCTAGTTATCCCTGGCGTGCCGCTGGGCACTGCATTAATCACGGCCTTGTATTTCTGCAGCTTCTCGATGTCGCGAGCTCCCGCGAGCTCCTGCGGAAAGCGGGCGGGAGGGAACTGGCGAGAGGGGGGGAAGACGGATGAGGCAGGTGGATAGGAATATGAAGATGAGGATGTTGTTGATGATGTTATTGTTGTTGATGATGCTCGTGATGATAATGACGATGGTGATGCTGATGAGGATGATGCACATTCTGATGCTGATGATGATGCTGATGCTGATGATAATGATGATTCGGAGGAGGGCGTTGAGGAGAAGAGGGGCGACGAGGAGGAGAAAGACGAGGGGGAGGTGGAGGAGGAGGAGGAGGAGGGGGGGGAGGATGGGGGGGAGGTGGAGGAGGATGAGGAGGAGGAGGGGAGGGGGAGGTGGAGTGGGAGGAAGGGGCGGAAGAGGGGGATTTATAAGGAGGGTCTCCTCCCTATACTCGAAGAAAGTGCTGTCTTTGACAGCCTCAAACAGGGCGTGCTCGAACTTCTGGCCAGCAAACTTCTGGCGCTTCGCCGCCATCGCCGCGGCGATCTGTCGGCGCCGTGGCGCCGCGGGGGCCCTCGCCCTCGCGAGGAAACCGAGGGCCGAGGGGGCCATTGGAGGGGGAGGAGGCAGACGAGCAAGTACGGAGGGAGGAAGAGGAGCGGAATAGTAGAGGAGGGGAGGCAGTAAGGGCGAGTTACGAGGGAGGAAGGAAGATGGAAGATGGATCATCATCCTTGGGGGAAGAACGCTACCCAGAAACACTACGCGAACCACTGCGCTACTGTTCTCCTCATCTTCCTCGTCCTCCTCTTTTTTCTGGCCTCCCTCTTCTTCTTGGCCTCTGAAGTACATGTTTTTGTTCGTTCTGAGCTGTATTCCTCCCCTCCTCCGCCTTCCCCAATGGCCATTTTAGCCTATGTCACTTGGATGTTGCATGTTGTGTGTGGAAGTTGTGTTTAATGCTCATGAAGTGCTTTATCCTATGTGGATCTATTTTGTCATGGATATTCATGTCGGATCTATTTTACCATGTTGGATCTATGTTGTATGTTTTTAAGCAAGGATCAATTTTACCATGCTGGATCTAGTTTCACATGCTTTTGAACGCGCGGATCTAAACAATAAATCCTGCGGACCACAGGGAAGTCATGCGCTTCTTGTGCCTAGATCCGCTACCGTGCCGCTGGGCACGGGATGGGCGTATACTCAGGGCCTTTGCCGAATCCCTTGAGCACGCCCGCGGAATCTTTAAGGCCCAGAGCCCACGTTGCCAAATCTTCTTGGGCTGCCCGCGTGCTCCCTGGGGTTTCCCGCGTCTTCTGGAAAGGCCCATGAAGGCCCCAAGAAGCTTCCAAGACGGTCCGTGAGGGCCTCGACTCTCCGAACGATCGCACCAAGACGCCCAACATGGTCCCAAGACGGCCAAGCATGCCTCCACGACGCCCCAACAGAGCTCCAATAGCCGGCCCAAAAAGGGCCCCGAGAGGCCACCATCATTGTTTTTTTCCCAGCGGGTTTTTCAATTCCCAATCATCCTGTGGTTTTGGGCCATCGTTTTTTGAAGAGACAGCGCCCCGCGTCACTGCTTCCTCCTTCCCCTCCTCCCTCCTCCCATCCCTGCCTCTGCCCTCCGCACCAAGTGCAGCGCTTCGTGGCCTCATAGAGGGCTCCACCGAAGGCTCAAGTGGCAGCGCCCGCATGCAATTCCACCATCGATTTCGGTACACCCCTCACACGTTTCGGGGCCCCACAGGGAGCTCCACCGAAGGCCCCAGTGGCAGCGCCCGCATGTTGTTCCACTTCCATTTCGGTGCACCCCTCACGCGTTTCGTGGCCCCATAGGGAGCTCCACCCAAGGCCCCAGTGGCAGCGCCCGCATGTAGTTCCACCACAAATTTCGGCACACCTCTCAGACGTTTCGTGGCCCCATGGGGAGCTCCACCTAAGGCCCCAGTGGCAGCGCCCGCATGTTGTTCCACCCCCGTTTCGGCACACCCCTCAGACGTTTCGTGGCCCCATAGGGAGCTCCATCTAAGGTCCGAGTGGGAGCGCCGCATGCGTTTCCACCCTCCAGTTTGGCACACCCTTCACGCGTTCCGTGGCCCCATGGGAAGCTCCACCGAGGACCCCAGCGGAAACGCCCGCATGCAGTTCCACCCCCATGTCGGTGCACCCCTTATAAGGTTAGTGGCTTTATGGGGAGTTCCACCGAAGGCCCCAATGGCAGCGCCTGCATGCGGTTCCACCATCAATTTCGGTGCACCCCTCACACGTTTCGGGGCCCCACAGGGAGCTCCACCCAAGGCTCCAGGGGCAGCGCCCGCATGCAGTTCCCCCCAGTCCGGCACAAGTCTCTACATGTTTCGTGGGCACATAGGGAGCGCCACCTAAGGCTCCAGTGGCAACGCCTGCATGCGGTTCCACCCGCCATTTCGGTGCACACCTCACTCGGTTCGTGGCCCCATAGGAGGCTCCACCGAAGGCCCCAATGGCAGCGCCCGCATGCGGTTCCACTACAATTTCAGTGCACCCCTCACACGGTTCGTGGCCCCATAGGGAGCTCCACCCAAGGCCCCAGTGGCAACGCCCGCATGCAATTCCACCATAAAGTTCGGTACAGCCCTCACGCGCACCGTGGCCCCTTCGGGAGCTCCACCGAGGGCCCCAGTGGAAACGCCTGCATGTGGTCCACCCCTCAAACGTTTCATGGTCCCATATGGGGGCTCCACCGAAGGCTCCAGTGGCAGCGCCCGCATGCGGTTCCATCTGCCATGTCGGCGAATCCCTCACACGTTTCGGGGCCGCACAGTGAAATCCACCGAAGGCCCTAGCGGCAGCGCCCGCACGCAGTTCCACCCTCGATTTCGGTACACCCCTCATACGCTTCGTGGCCCATAGTAATCTTCACCTGAGGCCCTAATGGAAGCCCACATGGTGGTCTGGCCGCATGTCGGCACACCCTTCACGCGCTTCGTGGCCCCATAAGAAGGTCCACCGACGGTAACTCACAACGACGGTCGTCATTCAAGGGGAGCGCTTCCCGCCGTGACAATCAAGACTTGTCGCGCCAAGTCGTACGTCTTGTGTCCTTGTGACGGCTGCCCGGGCTGGACCTGGGCCACTTGCAAGAAGACCCCTTGCAGCCTCTGCGACACCCAGCAGTCCCTGGCCGAGAGGGCGTGGCGCGGCTGGCGCGGCTGGGACTCTCAGCAGAAGGGCAAGGGCAATGAGGGCAAGGGCAAACAGGGAAGGGGCAATGAGGAGGGGTCCTGCAACGGGAGTGTATGGCAACATCGTTGACGCATCCTCTGTTTACTCTGGTCCCACCCCTCCTTCTCGGCTCGACTCGAGTCATGGCACACGAAGGTTCATCCTGCAGCCACCTATCCTGCCCCGAGGCCCCCTCCAAGGGCCACGGGGGGGATAAAACATTCTTGTCGTCCTCCCCGAACCATTCCCTAATCTCTCCTCCTCCTCCTCCCCCTCTATCCCTCGTCCTTATGAACCACTTCCCCGTGTCGCAACACCAGGCATGTCCCGGCATGTCCGTAGGCTGGGCCAGGCGTTTCGCTTGAGGCTTCCTTACAAGTGCTATGCTGAATCTTAACCCCCCAAATCTACGCAGATGGAAGGCCCGTCGCTTTCGAAATGCGGCCCTCGCCCTCGCGCCGCGCACGTTCGCTTGACACATTTCCAGCAATTGCGCGGATGGATGGACGCTGGGTAAAAAATGCGACTCTCGCCGGAGCGCTGCGCACACTCGCTCTAACCATTTCCAGCAGGTGCAGGAGGCCTGCCCGTTTTCAATGATGTGGCAATCGCTTGTGACCTCTTCGAACTCTTTGGCCCGAAACTCTACATGGGGCAACAATTGCAAGGATGGAGGGTGGCTCCTTTTCGAAATGCAGCCCTCGCGTGAGACGTCCGCACGTTCAATCACCAGAGCGTCGAAACGATGCGACTGCCAAAAGGGTGGAGGGCAGATCCTTGTCAAGGTGAGGCTTTAGCTTGACACTTACTGGATCGTTATAATTCTAACTCTTTGCGCGCCTTGTAGCTAGATGCATTAAGGGTGGATCCTTCACACGCCGCGTTCTCGCCTCGGTGACAAGCCCACTACCGCAGTGGAAAAGGGAATCCTTGTATGGACTTGTGAAGAGAGTGAAGGGGCTGGGGACGGAGGGGTGTATTTCAACATCGTTGACGCATCCTGGGTTTACTCTGGTCCCCACTCCTCCTCCTCCTCCTCCTCCTCCTCCTCCTCGTCCTCCTCCTCCTCTCCTCCTCCTCCTCCTCCTCCTCCCTCTCCCCCTCCCCTCCTCCTCCTCCTCCTCCTCCTCCTCCTCCTCCTCCTCCTCCTCCTCCTCCTCCTCCTCCTCCCGCCCCCCTCCCTGAAACAAGACGTCCTGGCAACCCTCTCCCAAAGTCTCGAACGCCCTCTCGTACCGCTGCTGCTCCGCCGGCCAACTCTCCTGTCAGGATCAGAGGGTGCGGCCCCACCAGGAGTGGGGATGAGGAGGAGGTTGAGGTTGTGGAGGAGGAGGAGGAGGAGGAGGAGGAGGAGGAGGGGGAGGAGGAGAAGGAGGAGGAGGAGGACCGTAGCCATTTTGGCTCAAGCCATTTTGGCTCAAGACAAACATTTACCAAGCCAGCTGGGCAGGACAGCTTCTTTGAGCTCAGGCCTCAGAAGGCCGCCAGGTCAGGTCTGAGATTCTTCGTTGCTTCGCCCTGCCCACTGCCATTCGGCAGGTCAGAGCAATCACTTCCTGAGTAATTTTGTCTCGAGACAGCAGCCATGGCGCCCCGAAAGTGCATCTGCGGCGACAGCAGCCCGCAAGGCGATACTCACTGCGGGCGTTGCAGGCAGCACTGGCGGCAGCCGGACGCATCGTTGCCAGGCGCCCAGGCGTGCGCGCGCGCCAAGCGCTCGTGCCTCGAGCGCCCGCAGGAAGACAGAGACGGCACCATGGAAGAAGGAGGAGGGCACGCTCATCATTGCATCCGACGACGGACCGCCCGCCGTGAGGATGGCCACCCCCTTCGAGGCGCTGCGGAGCGAGGAGTACCAGCCGCTGAAGTCAGGTGCCGCGACGGAGGAGAAGAACGAGTACTCCAGATTTCGTAATAAAGGGAGGGGGGGTCTCATTTCGGGGGGGGGTCTCTTCCAGGCTATCTTGGAGGGCCTGGGGGGTCTGGGGACGATGTTTTGGAGGGTTCTCCCACGGGGGAGGTCTGAAATGGCTTGTCTTGGAGGGTCCAGACCCCCTCCCTTTTATTACGAAGTCTGGAGTATCTCTGGAATGTGAAGAGCAAGCTGGCGATCGCGCCGCAGCAGTACACGTTGCAATGGGCAATGGACGAGAACACCAGCAACACGGTCCGCCTCGTCGGGGTGCCTCGCAGGATGATGATCGCGGAGAAGACAGTGTTCGAGCAGTTGGCATGGGTCGACGCTTCGATCATCAGGAGCCGCAAGGTCATCGATCACATTCAGAAGTAAGCAGACGACGCGCAGAAGATCGCAGACAAGAAGTACGCCAAGCTCAAGACCTTGAGTGACCACCTCAAGGCGCTAATGAAGAGCAAGGAGGAGCTGCCGTCCATGGTGCAGCGATCGATGCCGAGGAGAAGGAGCGAAGAGACGCCGAGGAGAGCAGGGACGACGACATGGATGGAGGATCGGAGCACGATTATACGCAGGAGTTGCCACATGTTCAGCCCACATCGTCGCCCAGAACAACTACGTCGGCAATAACGCAAGGATATCGAGCAAGTCACGGCACACCTAGAGGACACGGTCGTGCTCAGCAGCTCCGCCCGCTCCCAGGTCGATGGCCGAGGAAGAGACTACCAACACGATGGAGCAGTCCGAGAAGCCGTTGATCCAGACTACGGTTGGAACGCAACAGATGACCAACCAAATGTACACGTTCATTACCAGCCTCGAACGTATCCCTATCCCTAAGATTGACACGCCAAAAGGCGATGACAATCTTAGGGGTCCGCCCTCAAAAATAAAGGAATCCCTAAGATTGGCATCGTGATGAGGAGGTGCCCAGCATATGGATAGTGATATGTTCCAGGCTGGTAAGTTCATGATCCAGCAGTAGGTCGCTGCTGCTGCCGCCGTGCCAGGCAACGCAACCTCGGCTGGCCAGCCTGGCCTTCGAGCGACGGCCCCTCGGGCGGAACGGCCCTCTGCGCCAGCCGGCCCGGGGGGAGCCTGTGACGGGGTGCCCCCGACGCCAGGCGGGCCGCCCGAGGCAGAGTCAGAGGCTTCGGAGCACAGGGACTCTTTTTTTTCTCTTCTTCTTTTTCCCACCAGCGCACACGCCCAACAACTTCTGCCCCTTGTCCGATTGTGTGTCGAATCCGCTTCCCCTCATGGGGGCTATATTCGCACCCATCAAAGAGGCGCTGCCGCCCCCTGGCAAAACGCTTCGGAGCACGGAGCACGGGGACTGTGCCACCACGGCGCCTGCGGATTCGCCTCGGCCACCCAAGCCCAAGCGTGGCACAGAGGGTCAAGGAGTTCACCAGGCGCAGCTCGGAGCGCGGCAGCAACCCGCACGGCGCGCCGAAGAGGTCTGGGCGCCGAGCAGAGTCAGCAGACAAGATTCCGTCATCACAAGCGGCCGCGTCACCGGTGTTCGGAGGGGTGAGATCGAGGTCACCGACTCCAGTGACCGAGAGAGACCGCAAAGCAGCGAGGACAGCATCAGCTGGACCGAGCGGCCGCGGCCAGACGGGCAAGGGCGAGTTGCTTTTTCAGCTCATGAAGCTCTTTCGCCCAGGGAGGAAGTAACGGAGCTGCAAGGCGGCTCGAGCTGGCCTGCCTCCAGCCCAGACGCAGGCCAGCATGTATATGCACAGCTAGATAGCACATTGTTTGACAGCAAGGGGGTCAGTCACGAACCCTCTCATCTTCCGGTTGACCGATTGGTTAGACAACGGCCCCAAAGCCGAGGATGTAGAGAGAACGCTTGCTCACCAGTCCCAATTTCTCTCTCTACGGAGCTCTCTTCGGTGACGTGTCCCAGGGCCAGCCCGAGAATGGAAGCAAACCAGGGGATGTTGAGGATTATTGCTTCGCTCGGAGCCACCCTGAGGTCCTTGAGGACCTGGTTTCTTGCCGTGTTGGAAAATCCGCGGGGCGAATCCAGTCTCTTCAAAACATTAGCCTGGCGAAGGACCCAACCATATGCAGCTTTGCGAACCAAATTGCAAATACCGTATTCAATGGAGCTCCCTGTGAGGCCGCGCGAGGGGTGTGCCGAAATTAGTGAGGCGGACGCATGCGGGAGGTGGCTGGGGCATTCGGTGGAGCTCCCTATGGGGCCACGATGCGTGTGAATGGTGTGCCGAAATTGGTGTGGCGGACGCATGCGGGCTGCGCCACTGGGACCTTCGGTGGAGCGCCCTCTGGGGCCACGAAACGTGTTAGGGGTGCGCCGACATGGGTGTGGCGGACGCGTGCGGGCACTGGGTCCTTCGGTGGAGCTCCCTATGGGGCCACGAAGCGTGTGAGGGGTGTGCCGAAATGGGTGTGCGTGACACGTGCGGGCTGCGCCACTGGGACCTTCGGTGGAGCTCCCTATGGGGCCACGAAACGAGTGAAGGGTGTCTCCCTATGGGGCCACGAAATGTGTGAGGGGTGTGCCCACAAGAGTATGCGTGATGCATGCGGGCTGCACCACTGGGACCTTCGGTGGAGCTCCCTACGGTGCCACGAAACGTGTGATGGGTGTGCCCACATGGGTGTGCGTGACGCATTCGGGCTGCGCCACTGAACGTTCGGTGGAGATCCCGATGGAGCCACGAAACGAGTGAGGGGTGTCTCCCTATGGGGCCACGAAGCGTGTGAAATGTGAGCCCACATGGGTGTGCGTGACGCATGCGGGCTGCGCCACTGAGACCTTCGGTGGAGCTCCCTATGGGTCACGAAATGTGTGAAGGGTGTGCCGAAATGGGTGTGCGTGACACGTGCGGGCTGCGCCACTGGGACCTTCGGTGGAGCTCCCCATGGGGCCACGAAGCGTGTGAAAGGTGTGCCCACATGGGTGTGCGTGACGCATTCGGGCTGCGCCACTGGGACTTTCGGTGGAGCTCCCTATGGGGGCCACGAAACGTGTGAGGGGTGTACCGAAACGGGTGTGCGTGACGCATGCGGGCTACGCCACTGGGACCTTCGGTGGAGCTCCCCATGGGGCCACGAAACGTGTGAGGGGTGTGCCGAAATGGGTGTGCGTGACGCATGCGGGCTGCGCCACTGGGACCTTCGGTGGAGCTCCCTATGGGGCCACGAAGCGTGTGAAATGTGAGCCCACATGGGTGTGCGTGACGCATGCGGGCTGCGCCACTGGGACCTTCGGTGGAGCTCCCTATGGGGCCACGAAGCGTGTGAAGGGTGTGCCGACATGGGTATGCGTGACGCATGCCGGCTGTGCCACTGGGGCCTGCGGTGGGGTTCCCTATGATGCCACGAAGCATGTGAAGGGTGTGCCGAAACGGGTGTGCGTGATGCATGCGGGCTGCGCCACTGGGTCCTTCGGTGGAGCTCCCCATAGGGGCCACGAAACGCTGTGCTGGGTGGGTGAAACGCAAGGAGGAAGGAGGAAGGAGACGCGGGGACCGTCTCTTCAAAACGAGGACCCATCATCACAGGACGGCTGGGAAAAACGTCACTATGTCTCCAGATTTGCGACTTGATATTGATACGCACCCAGCGGCTAGGTACGCATTAGAGGTTATGTCCATGGGCGTGCAAGATACAACCAATGGTAGGTTGTAAATATACGCAGACGCATCAGCGGAAACATCGAGCCCAGAGGAAGCTAATTGGGCCGCTGTTGCTGTTTTCGCTGGCGATGATGGCAACATCTCGTTTCAGGGAACCATTCACGGTAGAGTCAGGGGCTCATTGGCCTTCGACCCTGTACCGAAAGCTCATGACAGTACAACACCGAGACTATTGCCATCATTTGAGCCATGGTTTGGGCAGGGTTGTGAATTTGAAGAGGTAGTGATTGTTGGAGATTCCCAGAATGCTCTCAACACCATGCGTGGGGATGCCCTCTCTCACATCAACCCTGAGCTAGGCAGTTTGGCGCTCCAGCTTTACCTAGAACTCAGGCGACTCAGTCTTGTTGGCGCTGCGCACGTTGCCTCACATGACTGCATGCCATGGAACGAATTAGCAGACTCCTTTGCTAAAGCTGCCCGTTCAGGTCTCGCCACGAATAGTCCAGTACCTCAGGAGGCTATCGCAGAGCTCTTGTTTCTGAGGGAGACGGACTGGAATTGGCTGCATCATGCCGACGATTCGACCAGGAGAGCGTACCCCGATTTAAGCGGGGATAGTTTTCTTTTTGCTCGCACGCGACAACAGGCCATCGACGGCCAGCTCGGAGAGTTGGGTATGGCTCAAGGGGAGGGGAGCAGCAGGGTTCAGCAGAGGGGAGTGAAGAGG